CTTCAGTAGTGAGCATTAGATATACCTAAGCATTTTTAAATGCCTCTTTCTCAGTAGTATAAAAATGAAATATGAAAAAAACTCGCTAAACTTGTAGTAGCTCTCTTGCGCATCTAAAAATTAAAACAATTCAATATCAGTAGTTTAATAGAGTAAGTAACGTAGTCATGTCATTCTCAACTTTTTAGTGGTTTAATAGTGTATCTAACCCATACATGTCATTATCAAGTAGCTTGATAGCATATCAAACCAACTCAGTGTCATTCTTAAAACTAGAGCCGTTTAATAGTGTATCTAACCCATACATGTCATTCTTAAGTAGCTTGATAGCATATCAAACCAACGCAGTGTCATTCTTAAAACTAGAGCCGTTTAATAGTGTATCTAACACATACATGTCATTCTCCAGTAGCTTGATAGCCTATCAAACCAACGCAGTGTCATTCTTAAAACTAGAGCCGTTTAATAGTGTATCTAACCCATACATGTTATTCTTAAGTAGCTTGATAGCATATCAAACCAACGCAGTGTCATTCTTAAAACTAAAGCCGTTTAATAGTGTATCTAACCCATACATGTCATTCTCCAGTAGCTTGATAGCATATCAAACCAACGCAGTGTCATTCTTAAAACTAGAGCCGTTTAATAGTGTATCTAACACATACATGTCATTCTCCAGTAGCTTGATAGCATATCAAACCAACTCAGTGTCATTCTTAAAACTAGAGCTGTTTAATAGTGTGTCTAACCGATACATGTCATTCTTAAGTCTTCAGTAGCTTGATAGCATATTCAGTAATTTAATAGTGTATCTAACCAACTCAGTGTAATTTTTAACTTTTCATTTATTTGATAATACATAAAACCAACTCAGTGTCATTCTTAAAACTAGAGCTGTTTAATAGTGTGTCTAAGTACCACAGGGTCATTTTTAAGTGTTCCGTAATTTAATAGTGTATCTAACAAACTAATGCAATTTTTACCTCTTTTAGTAGTTTAGTAACTTTTATAATCAACTGAATGTCATTCTCAAGTCTTAAGTAGTTTATATAACAAACTCAGTATAGTTCGTAAATTTTGAGTAAATTTTAGCTAACCGACTCAGCGTAATTTCTATATATTTTGTTGACTTATGAATATAGCACAAATTATCGTTCTCAATGTAATACATCACATCTTTTTTGTTGTTGTTATCTTAACCACTGGCTAATGAATAGATAGTAATTGATTTCTGACCTAAGTTGGACAAATCAAAATGTCATTTAATCTCCGGAAAATGGGATATTTCATAGCAACCTAATACAATTATTAAGTAACACCTCTAATAAATCTACAGCTTACAAGGTTAATATACAATGTTTAGTGAATTTCAATATTGTGAGAAACCTCCCATTATGTATAAAATTTACAATATGTGTTTTATTGAATCCAACGGGACATTCTTGTTTAATAATTGTACTAGCTAGATCGTGCTATTTAGGAATTATTGAAACATTAAAGTGCCGTGGGACTCATTGATCTTTTAGAAGATTTTTTTATTCCAAATATGGAAAAGGCTTACAGTTTGAGAACAGCGGTATGGAAGAGTTCTGCTAATTCGAAATATATGAGACGTTTGGCAATCACCAAACACTCTTGAATTTGTTAGTGCTGCTCATCCGCAACTTCACTGATTCAAAGAAAGTTATCGAATGTGATATCAACATTATTATTATTTTACAGACAGACAACTCACTAGTGATATATCTCACATATTAATTTGCATAGCAAGACACTAGACTCTAGATAAAAAACTACCATTTATTATTAGGAATGACATCCATATAATGAAATACGTCTCTTATTTGCGTTAACTTTTGACAGACATGTGATTTAATAAACTTTGCCTAGCTAAGATTGAAAATAACTTTTAACATATTGCGACTGTTCTCCTACGTAAATAGTACTAATATTCTTGACTTCTCAACACGTCAGCAAATATTTCATTAAATATCTCCCCCTCTAAATAAAAACATTTTATACTTGCTAAGTTCAAAACATTTCTTAAGAACGAGTTCTTTCATAACTTAACAAACAATAACTGTTTACAATCCTGCAAGCATAATTCTCAAGATCGTTCACTAAGTTAGTTTTACATTCTACAAGAATACAAACTATAAAATGAACTTATAGTCAAAATTATATTACAATCACCCCAATTTTAAAATAACCTTGTGACTGAACAGTCCTGAACATGAAGTAGTTTAAAATCAAAATAAAAACTTTTCAGTCATTGCTTTTCATGATAGCCATCAACAGTGCGACTTTTGATTTTATACTAGCTTCATCATCCTCGTCATAAAAAAGACCAATGTGTTAAAGTTTATTCTGTGTATAATAACAAATTACCATATACAGGATGACAATCGCAATATGTTAAGAACAAACCCGTTTCACTCCTAGGCAGAGTTTATAAAAAATGCAAATCATAGATGAGTTAATTTGTTGTAAATATAAGATATCTATCTAATTCTAAGATATTATCCCTTACTTGACATCTAATAAGTTCTCCAGTGTATGTTGTGTGGAAGAATGTATGGGTTCCATCACCAGCTGGTTATAAACTTTATATATATATATGTAGGAACATACTGTCTTAGCCAAAGAATCGTGGCAAGATAGTACACAATGCCAAGTTGGTGTCACAGTCTTCGATTTTCTGATAATTAGAAGACCTAAATAATTACGAGTTACAGAGAGTTTGCAATCTATAAGTTCATTTTGAACCAGCAATGCCTCATTTTCCTCAAAATTTAAATTTGTTCGAATTTTGAAGAACATACCTTTTGCATACTTTTTAAGTATGAACACTGTAGGTAATGGCAACTCCACGTCTTAAGTACTACAGATATACATAACGGGTATTGTTTCTATAAATAAACGAGAAATATGTTTTCGCGATTTAGCAGTAACTTAACTTAAAAACCTTGTTTGTTTAAACTTGTACATCCTGTGTCAGAAATACAATAATAATAAGTTCTAATAATTTTTATTATTACATTTGTAGTGCTAGCATTACTCACACTAGTTAACTAGATAACTAAGTATGTTTTTAAAATGAATTTACATCAGTCTTTATACATTGTCAAAGTACAGTTGCTAAATATAACGATAATTAAACAAATAAAACACTAAACAGTAATCATGGGGAGAAACTACAGCAAGAAAACACAACGAAAAAAGTAAAATCAGTAATACGAACATATTAAAATATGTGTAATTTAAATGACGACTGCATGTTGTTCAGAGTTGGAGAGTGCTGTTTGATGTGGAGGGTTTCTTTGATCGATAATTCCAGGTCAGTATTAGACTTGCAGAGGATGGAAAAATTAGGATAGTATAGGTTGATGTAAAAAAACCAACCATCTTTAACAAGGTATCTGTTTTATAAGATGTAACGTGTATTATTCATTAAAGCTAAGCTCTTGAATAATGATGTTTGCAGTACTTATTAATAGCATTTAGCCATACATTTGTTTTGTAAATGCTTGTATTATTTACACAATGGTATTACAACATTCATATGTGTTGTAATAAAATTGATACATTATTTGGGTCATTTCATGTGTTTTTGTAACAAATTTATTATTATGTATTTAGAAATAGGCATGACTTGTATTATCAGATATGTGTTGCATATAACGAATTTGTGACATATTTATTTTAATGTCAACGTTTGTTTCGAATAAGTTTATATTTGAGGCCATGTATAGCTTACTGTGTTAGTTATGTATAGCAAAATTCCCACCAATTCTCCAAGATTGTAGAACATTCATGAACAAGAATCAACAATATTATCCATTTCTGTATCTGGTATTATTAGAAAGTTCTAGAAGATGTGTCTAGCCTATAAAATAAAAAGGCATCGTGCCAAAAAATGGCAGACAACAGAGAAGAGACAGGTCTACAATGAAACTGTTATAACAGTGTAAGCTATAAACTGTGATTCTGCTAACCCCTATCAACCGGGAAATATACGACATTTGACCAGGAACCGTTATAAATTCTGAACGTCAGTGAATTCTTATCGAACGTTAATATCTCTCCAAGAATATTCTTAATTTCTTATCCGACATTAGTGATTTTGTAAAAATATTATCTTACTTCATCGGTCCAACAATTCAGTGCCTAACAAAGCTAGCTAGCTTCGCGCCAAAGTCTATATACGTACAACTCGTTGGATATCAAGGAGACTCTAAACTAGGAAGATGGTTTTAGGCTATTTATAAGTCAGTGAAATTTCTGTTTATGAAACTTTGTTTGTAATAATTAATCATAACAGTTGCTATTGTAAATTATAGCGTTGTGTATATATGTATTAAAACGTAGTTGTGTCAAAACAAAAATGGTGTGAATCAATTTTGTTGGCGAATAGCATAAATTAAATAAAATATCGCCATATTTCTAAACCTAAATCCAAGGTACGTCTCAACTTGGATTATTTCAAATTCTCAATCCGTTACGTTTTATACATATGAAAATGACAGTTTAGTTGAAAAATACTCCTTTGAGCTCTCTTTTGAACAAATCTCTGCTCTGTTGGTGGTGATGTTATTTTTATTGGCTTTAAAGTTTCTACTGATCTGATTGCTTAAAAAATAGCTCTAAAAAGAATTTTAACCTATTATTTTCTGTTGCATTACCTAAAGAAAATTTAAACTTCATTTCTTTGAAAGGTGAAAGACATTCCTTTCAAACTAAAAATACCCAGTTATGAGAAGATTGAAATGGATAAAAAAAACAACAGTAATACAAAAAACTTTTACGATGTAAGATAGATATATGCATATTTCAGTAACTATCATGTAATGTTACCACAAAATGTGTTTTTGTCACATGTATTCGTGGGTTATTAGAGAGAGAGAGATTTTGAAATGTTAATTTAAAGATATTCTTTTCTTATTCACTTGTATTAGATTTGTGATTTTTTAAACTTGTATCTAATTTTCTGTAAAATGTAGATGATACAAAAAAGTTTGATTCCACTTAATTCATCATTAAAATATGGAGGCTCAGAATCCAGCTATAGTTCTTCAGCAAGCTTTCCAGATCAAAATTCCATAGGAGGGAGTGATGGAAGTATCTACAGTATTGCCAGCAGTGATAGTCTGTATCACATCAGTGATAGTGATGAAGAAAGCTTTTACCAGGTATGTTGAACCATCCAAGTACAGTTGCCTTTTTTTTGCAAAATTAATTCTTAGAATACAATCTTTATTTTATATTTCTCTTACCTTTTCAAGTCTGGAAATGGGAAAATTCAAATACATGTAGATAAATAATTAATCTTTTACAAACTTATAGCTTTAACTTTTTCCATCGTCAAATGTAAGTAACTATAACATATTAACAATACAATCACTGTTAGTTCATTTCTTTCTTGTAGCCTTTAACATTTTCTGCAGATTTCTTAAGTCTTCTAAATACTCTCCATCTTATCCCAGAATCTTCTTCATCATCCCTTTTATTTCTGGTTTACATTTCAACCTTATCCATTCTTTACCTTCTGCTATTGTTGCCTTGTATGCTTATTTTCTTAATATAAATCATGTAGTTTATCTTCTTTTAGCCAGTGCTTATATACTTGTAATTTATTTACACATCACAACCTTATAACGATTAACTGATCCTTTCTTTAATTAAAAACTGTTTTAAATTGGTTGTTTCTCCCTTCTTTGGAGATTTCTTTATAAACGATTATATTTTGAGTCTTACTTTATCTTGTATTAACTGTTTATGTATTTCATATGTTCTAATATTTACTACAAGTGTACTCTAGTTTCTATATTCTAAAGTTTTTTGTGAGAGTAACCTAGTTTTTGTAATGTTTTGTCTTTTTCTTTGTTTTGGTTATTTTCCCATATCTGTTTCTTTCTTGTATTTCTAACCAGCATTGCTTTGTTCACCTTCTTTGATTGTGCCTTCAGATCTTTTTCTTCTTGTTATACTTATGAGCTTTTCGCCATACCTCTTTCCACATCTACTCTTTTTCCAGTTTCTTCATGTATTATATAAATAAAGGGAATTTATTTAATATCATATTCAATACCTATGTATTATCTCAACATGTTATTTCACAGTGGTGTCGAAATGAACAAGACAAAATTATATAATTTGATTTATCAGTATAATAGGTATATCTTGAAAAACTGGCAGAAACTGATAGTTATCTGTTCTTTTCAAGACAAAATTGTAATTGAATTCTAAAAAAAATAGTCTAGAAGAGAAACAAAACTTACAAACCAACTTGTGTATAAAATACTCAAAAGAGGAACTTTACTAATACAAGGTAAAATTTATATATTTTTATGTGTAAGTTGCTCAGTAAATCATATTGACTATAATAGTGGAAACAATTTTTTTTTCTTGTCTGGCTATTTCAAGCACTGTTAGAAACAACATTCATCAACAGACATGATTTTTGCTTGTACTAGTTGGAAGCTAGAAAGGACAAATTGATATCAGACTTAAAAAAATCATTATAAGTGGTAGTAATAAGCTACTTATAATCTAATAGTGAAATGACTATAACTGTTTCTGTCTATGGTATTTAGTTATTTTGATTTGAGCAGGAAATTTAACACATTCACATTTTTTTCATTATAATAATTTTTTAATGGGCACAGACTGAAAGCTATAGAACAGGAGTTTGGAATCGTGATTGCTTCCATAAAGTACTTGACAGGCTCTTTACAGAAGCACAGAAAGTTAAAAGTGAGTATGTTTTTTTATATTTTTTTTCATAATCAAGTAAAGTGCACAAGCATTTACTGAGAACAAAAGTTTAAAAATGGAGATTTAGAATCAAAGTTTGATGTTTATAAGCTTAAAATACACAAAAGTTGAATCCAAATATTTGTATTCATATAGATTAAAGATGAAAACATGATGTATGTACTGACAAAAGTATATTAACTGAAGTCATCTAAACAATAATTTAAGATCTAAAAACTTTGAAGTTATTAAAAAGTATGTTTACCTATTTATGTTTTCTTCAGAATGTTGGAAATAATTCAAATAATATTTCTAATTATATCTGTTATTCCTACAATATTGCTAAATATTGTTAGTGCTATTGTATTCTGTGTTTTAACCTTTCAACTATTTTCACATTAAAACTTGAATCAAATAAATAAATTGGATTCCTCATAACATCTTATCTAAAATAAAAAAATGGTTTTAATAATTAGTGACCTGTTTCTTTGGTGGACAGGCTTTGTACCTACATTGAAACATCGACCAGTTGACCCAAAGAAGCTGGACAAAAAAGATGTAGAATGTCCTCTTTGTTTCAGGTAGTGTTTATTAAAGAGAATAAAGAACTATCTAGAAAGTGTCCAGTTCAAAATAAAAGTGATTCAGTATAATAACTTGTGTATTTTCTATATTTAGTAACTGCATTATTACCATCTGTTGTATGAAAATAATATTACACCAGTGATAGTAAATTTATTTGATTTTCCTTTGAACAGAAACATTCAGTATAACTTCTTCACTAGCCATTATGATACAAAATACTAGTAGCCATACAGTTTAGGTTGTACTTTGTATTTAAGACACACCTACAATAATATAAACCAAAAATAGAAATTATCCTCTAAATCATTTAAATTCTCATTACAAAGTAATTTTCATTCAAAAGATTTACAAGAATTACAGTATTTCTAACTTTTTGCCTTAAAGTTTGTGTGTTTTGGTAGTTTAAATTTCTTTGTTGCATTTTAAACAGCTTAAAACATAGAGAAAAGATATGAGAAAATTCAAGTTTGGCTAGGTAACCTTATCTCTTGCTCTAATAGTAAAAACATTGAAAGAGAGTTTTTAATTACATTATAAAACAGACTGAAGATCAAGCAGGTGTCACAAACATTTGAAGTCAATTTGTTTTTAAATTTTTTCCAGTAAGTTTATACTAGTGTATTTAAAAAAATATTGCAAACCTTTAAAGTAATGTATTAAATATTTATATGTTCAACATTTTAATTCAACTTAAATGACAAAAGAGTTGAAGTTTAGCAGTAAAGTATAATTGCACTTGTAGAAAAAAAGTTTTCCAAATGTCATGAGTTTTAAACCTTATATTCTGTGAATAATGAGGAAACTGTGATCAGTAGAAGTTTTGACTACTGTTGGTATTTTATGAAATTATGTTAAAATTCGAATCATGTACATGTTCTCAATGTGTAAAATGTGTTATTTGTGTAAAAGAAAAAATAGTCATAATTTTTAATAAATATTATTTGTTTAAATATTAGAAATAATTGTTTTTAATTATTAATAAAAAACACAACCATATTTTTAACAAATACAAAGGTCTTCATTTATATCTATTTTAATTGTTCCCTTCTCTTGTACTTAGACTGAGAATTAAAAGTTTTTATTATTCATAAATTTGATAGTTCATTGATAAAATATTTATTAAGTTTACAATTGTTTAGTCACATGCTTGTAAATTAGTTCTGTTATAGATTCTCATTTGATTACTTTTTTCATAGATTAAATTCTGTTAGCCTCAATTCTTGTATCTTACCTGATGATGCTAGGTAAACCTGGTGAAACATTGTGAATAAAATGAACAGAAGTTTCCCGAAATGGACCTGCCTCCACTCACCTAAAGCTATCTCTATTATAAGCATAGCTAAAAGAATTTTTAGTAGTTGGTGCACCAGTCTTTATGCCCCACCAGTTTTGTTCCATTTCCGAACATGTAAATATCATGTTATTACTCTCCACCAATAGTATTACACCCCCTATAATGGTGCAGCTAGCTCTCTATGCTGTTCCTGCTCAATCCTTACTTTCTTATTTGGCATGACACAGTTTAGACATGTGTTTAATTTTTCACAGTGTGACTATAGTTTTTGATTGTGCTTTATTGCCATTTCCAACGATGTTTATCCAACAGTTTCGAATACTTGTATTTGCTTTCATTTGTTTTCACGAATTTGCATTTGAAATTTTCTTGTTCCCGATTTCTATGTGTTTTGTATGAATTCAAGGTTTCCTGTGGTGGACTATTATATTACCACAACAGGTGACATAGCATGACTTCCCAGGACACAGGGTCAACTTTATCTATTGAGGAAGTACATGCCTTGGTTTGCAGGGAGTTCAGATTCTTACATTCTTATTCTTCTTTTCAATGTGGTTTCTGTCCTTCCCACCCTTCCTTTTTCTTCACTTGGTAGTTTGTCAAAGGCTTGTCCACTTGTTCCATGTCCAGCTTGTGGGCAGCCTTGTCTATCTCCTCATTGTCGTCATTCAGATTTATATACCATTCATGTTACCCACATTCTTACTGTTCCTTCTATGTCATCCTCTATCCCAGCCTTGGGCCTTCCTCCCTAGGACTTATGCTGCCAGTGACTGTGTTCTAACTTTCACACTCAATTCCTTACCATTCATTTCCCACCTGTACTTCCATTCCAATACAGATAGGCTTCCTTGTCCAGTTTTTTCCTTCAGGTGTTATTCCCTGGAACCCTTCAGTTTCCAGTGTTTTGTAACCTGTTATTCTCACTGGTTGGGTTCATCAACTCATCCGACTGGCTTATTCGGACTTGTTCGTGGAAGATTTCCATCTCCTCGAAGTCTCTTTGCATCAAATTTGCATCACATTACTATGTCTTTTGCTGCTCGCCTTTGCTGTCCTTTGAAGGATATCATTCGGCTGGAATGTCAACTACTCCCAATACCTTTGTTACTCATTATCTGCTAGATCTGGCTGTGTCTTTCTTTAGTGGATATCATCTTCCTCCCTTATTGATTTTACATATGTCCATTCTCATTTGCACTGGGTAAGTCTTATTGCTTTCTTTCATCTATATATTTTTTTCAGCTACCCTAATCTTAGCATCTTCTTTATGGATCCCACCTTGTGATGGATGTTGCCTGGTCAGGTATGGTTTGTCTCAAACCTGCACTAATTGAAGTAACTATATAACACTCGCAGTTGAGATGGAGTGTTTCTGTAAGACCACTGGGTGCTTTCCCAGTGGTGTATATGTATTAGAAATCATTAAAACTATATCTTTGGTGGACTGTTATTCATAGATTTCATAAGTAAAGCAGAAGGGGATTTCTGCCCTTCCGTGCCTATCCTCTGACTCCTTAATAGGGTTTGGTCTACCTTTCAAAATAGGGAAACTCAGTCACCCATTGCACTTTCCCCTGTGTGACGTTCCTCCAGACTCCCCACCACCTTGTTACCACCACTTTTTTCTTCTAGTGGAGCATGGGAATCCTTACTACTCACAGTTTCCAGTTGCTGGTGTGGCAGACCATGGAGGCTTCTTCCTGAGTGTAATTCCATGTTACTATACTTACTCTTGTTTATCTACTCAGTGAGAAGGAGGCAAATCTGGTTCCCTAATGGTGCTTCCCCCAGTCGTTTTCTGCCTTGATTCAGTAAAACCAATGATCAAATAATAATTGGGGCCAGCCTACATGGGATCCTCCTTGTAATTCTGAGTTTAAGATGACAATGCTCTGTTCCTACGATTGTGTGCAATAAACTCCTCTCTTCTCATTTTCTGTTTGCAGAAGTTTTTTCCTGCTTCTGTGGTTGGGTTTGAGTGACTTCGTCTGCCTTGCAATACTGGCAACAGGAGGTGCACGCTCTGTTCCTATGGTTGGGCAGATGCTGCTTATCCTCCTCATAATTCCAGATCCAGGATTCTCTGCCCTGCATTTACGGTTGAGTGAGTTATGATTCTGCCCCTTATAACAGTTACAGCTTTCCCTGTTCTTACAGTTTGGTCAAAGCAATGCTAAGACCCCGTAATGCTGGGTTTGGTTTGTCATCCTTCTTGCTCCCATAGTGGTTTTGGTAGTTTGTCCAGTTATGGTCACTTCCTCTTTGTAATTCCAGTTACTTGATGTACTTTGTTTACTTACGGTTGGGCTTGTTGGGTATCAATAACACGGTCCACATGCCTTAGCCGCTTGCTTTTATAACATTCTTTTTTCGTCTTGTATGTTGCTACATCTTGTATCTTCTTAGCACTTTTTACAATCATTCCGGCACTACCTTTTCGACAAATTTGGTGTCCCTTTTCTCATTCCTGGGCAAAGAGTACACCTGTTCCAGAAGTATTGTAGTACCCCATTGGTGTGCTTCATTTTCATCCTTGATCACACCTGTTCATTCAGGTTGGTCACTTTTCACTTGGTTTGTTCTTTGAGTGCTTATACTGGCCCTCCACCTTTTCAATGTGTGATGGAGGTAAGTCCATTTTGGAAGTTAACATTTTCTTACACCGAAAATGTATTTCTGATAGGTATTTACCACCGCTCACACACTTCCCACCCTTCCTTCCATCTAAAACTCATTTTTTTATTTTAGTACCTGCTAATCCTCGAAAGTGAGGATTGAGCAGGATTAGCAAAGGGCACTAGCTGTGTCATTATAGGTGGCACAGTACTATTGGTGGAGAGTAGTCACATGATATGTACATGTTCAGAAATGAAATGGAGCATAACTGGTGGGGTATAAAGATTGGTGCACTGATTGCTAAAAATTCTTTCAACAATGCTTAGAAAGCGGACGAACAATCAAGATAGCTTTTGTGTGATAGGAGGTAAGTATCTATCAGAAATACATTTTCAGTGTAAGAAAATATTAACTTTTACTATGTACATCCAATATAAACTTGTATGAAATATGTATTTCAATGAAATAATTTTGAATAATAATAATAATAGATATTTTAGCCCACCTTTTGAGTGCAATATGTTACAAAATAAGTCCAAATATATATTGGAGAGGAGGGAAAATTTTGTTACAACCAGTTTTAGCATTAAGCCTGTACTTGGTGAAAATAATTACCTGTGGCCAAAACCACTTGTGTCATTTTCTTGTTAAATTTTTTGTTACAGACAATTCAAGCTCAGGTGAAAAATGAACTATGTCTAAAACAAGTTGTGGTATTTACTTCTCCAAGAATTTTTAGGACATTTCGTTTTGTAATTTATCACTGTAGCATGTTACAAGATATAGAGTTAGCTTAACGTCCATTGCAACACTGTGAACTTTGCTATGGGAAAACAAAAACTTTTTTTTTTCAATATGTGCAAACAGAACAGTCTAAAATTTTATTCAGAGGCTATTTAAGGAAATTTCATAAAAAGTTCTGTTCGTTTAGTAAACAGTTGACAGAGTTTTCTGATTAAAACTATACTGAACACAGTAATAATATTTTGTTAATAGTTTTAAAAAATATGTTGTGAACCTGTGATTGAAATTATATATTGGAAATCATGGGTCCTAATGGATGGACATTTCTTCTATGCCTTAAATAAATCATACAGAATATTATGGTGTTGCTATCATTTGGTCTATTATTTTTCATTAAGTCTCTATTTATAATATTGTATTTGTTAACTAATCATAGTATATTCATTTGCTTCATATTTGATTTCACTCCTGTAAACTATTCCCAGTTAGAGTTGTGATACCTTTAATATAGTAAACCTTATTAAAAATTAATACTCCAGTAATTTCCAGTTTTAATTATTGGAAAACTGGTGACTACATTTTCTAAAATCTAATAAGTAAAAACAGAGTCAATCATTTTTATATCAGCTGATGTCAAGATCTTTAGTTTTATTTTTAACAGTTATCTAGTGTTTATTTTAATTATAATTGTCATTTTACTGCATGTAGCTTTGAAGGTTCTATGGAAATTCTTTGCTTTTTCTCAAGTTATAAAAGAGTAATATTGTTTATATTTCAACTATGATCTTTCACCATAAGCTTTATGGTATTTTATAAAATGTTTTCACTGGTGGATTAATTTTTAGAGAAGTTTTTTTCTTTGCTTGTTTATTGACAGAAATATAATTGTGTAAACACATCCCTAATGGAAAGGAATTGAAGCTTCATTATTGAAAAACCTCTGAGGAAAAGTAACTTACAAGTTAATGAAGCCAATTTTATATAAAAACTGATAAATATATTAGAAAGTTAAAACCCATAATTTTTATTAACTTCTTATCAAAGTAAGCTACCTGCATACATCAGAACCAACTTTGATTCAGTAATAAATATAACTAATTTAATATACTGTTCTTGTGAAGATTAGAATTTCTTGAGACATCTATTAATTATACTTGCTGTTCACAATATTTACTGCATAATCCTAATAATGTCTCTCAATTTATCAGCCAGCATAAGCGATTTAAGTTAGAACTAAATCTGCATACTAAGCTGACAATGGAAAATAATCTTCATAGTTCAAAAAAATTGTAACCAATAATATTAATGAACCTAACAAAAAAGAGGCCAGTCATTAACTCTAAAGATTCTCATAGCTTACCCATACACAGAACTTGAATATACTTATAAGTATTATTGTATCAACAGCAGTACACATGGAAGAACAAAAAAAAACAGATTGAAGTTACATGAAAGACATTACACTGTCACTGATTTCTTAGGAAAACATTTTATAACTAACTGTCTCAAACAACTTTTTTTATGTTATGGATCTCTTTAAAGGACATTACTGGCTAATTTTCAGGAAGTTTATTTGTTCAAATTAAGGTGTCTACATACTCTCTGCAAAAAATTCAAAACGTTTGTCTACAAAATTTGACCACATTAAGTAACTCCCATCATTTAAAAGTTAGAAATGTAAAATGTTTGGTGGGAAAAATAATTTAAAACTCTAATTAACAATTTCTTTCTTACTTTCACTAAAAAATGGTGCACTGTAAAATTATAAGTTTATTTTTCATATTTTATAAGTCTCTTTTTACTTTAAGTCAAACTCAAAGAATGTTTGTTATGAGACTTTTACTTGTAAATTCAAAGCCAGTTGAATATTAAAAACAAGTTGTTTACTGTTTAAAAAAAAAGTAGTTATCCCAGTTAATTTTTGCCTGAAAATACTTAGAATGTTGCTAAAAATATAAGAGCCCCCAGTTGCTCAGCTGTAAGTATTTGAGCTCATGATACTAAAAATTGCACAAATAGCCCATAGTGTAGCTTTATGCTTGACAAAAAGAAGTAAGAATGTTTGTAGTTTAATTGATTTTATACTTTTATAGCAATATGTATTGTGTATGCTATGTGAGTTCACAATTTTAGTAGCTTATTTGGATACTAAATACTATTGTATTATTATGTAATTATTATTGTAGAATACTTTAGAGTTGTGATGTAAACAATGTATGTTTTAAGCATGAAATGAAATAGATGTCCAGTGTTGTAATTTTTTTGTTTTTGTATTAGGTTATTTTGGCAACCTGTAACAACTCCTTGTGGCCACATGTTTTGTCGAATGTGTCTGGATAGGTGTTTGGATCACCAACCTTTTTGTCCCATGTGTAAGACTTCACTTCAGGAGGTATTTTGTTTACTCATTTAGTATTTAGTGGGATGTGGTATACATGTATGATGTTTTGTGAAACAATTTTATAGAAAAGTTTACAAGGCATAAAAACGAATCTTTATCTAAAGATTAAAGTAGCAGGCCATAATGAAAACTGTCAGATCAGATAATTAATAGTATTTTACTATAATGCATACTACATTCAGTGATCAAAGTTCATCACATAATGTACCAGAAAGCCATTTGGGTTCTTATTTCAGAAGCAGGGATGGTATTTCTTCATTTTTAGAAACAGTTTTGATAATAAACAAGTCTTTTTATAAGAAATTAATTTCAAATTTGATCTCGCACGCTTCTGAAAATGTATCAAATGCATCATCCTGGGATGTTATGACAGAAAACTCGCACTGCTTAAGCATAAAACAGAATGAACATTAGGTACTTTTGTTGATTTATTGTATGTGTTTATTATGCTTTCTCTCTCTCTCTCTCTCTCTATATGTAGAAGGAGATGTACATTTGGTTAGTCAGTATCACTGGGACAGTATAACCAGGTTATCACCCCACTGGCCCAGGCATCACTGGTTCACCATGATTATGCCCGGTGGCCCATTCTGCTCCTGCCCATTTTGTTTGATAAAAACCAGATGTGAAAAGAACAAATAAATAATCTCTCTTCTTATATGAACTAATATACATCATTGTTGAACAGTAGTCTCTCTCTCTCTCTTTTTTTTTTTTCATCTGTTACATGTGAAGTGCATTAGGTTATTATTTATGCTCTTGTAGCACACATACAGGACAGTATTACAGTCAGCTGATTAGTCTTGTGATGATGAAAGATTGACAAAAATGTCTGTCAAACAGAAACCATAGTTTTTTATGTCCTTGGGTTTTAAACATTTTTGTTAGTTTGGTTATATTTCATTTAATTTCTCTTATAGCTATTTTTATTTGAGTTTTCATTAACTAAAAAACATTGGTAGAGGTACATTATTTTTAGTTAATTTTTAACTGTTGTTGAAATTATACAATACATTCCACCACTTTTTTGGGAGGGCTTGAGCACTGACTACAGTCATGCTAATTTTAGGTCATTCTTCATGGCTTGCAATAAGGCTTACAATGGTGAAAATGAATTTAAAAAAATGTTAAATCTATGTTACAACTATGAGTGTCTTCCACAAATGTTGAAAAAATTTGTTATTTCTTACTTGTCAATTTTAGTTTTCACAAATTATCTCAATTTTATAAGTTATGGTGATAAATGTGTGAAAGCTTAAAAAAATTATCTAGTTATGAGTATGGTTTTAGTTTCTAGCTGTGCGTGGGTTGTTTTAGTATGTAGATGTTTCATTGTAAAACATTTCTTCCAATAAAATACATGATTTAATCAAGATACTTAAAGGTATCGTATTGAATATTGATTTACACTGTTTTTAGGCATCTAATAGGTTTAAGGCATACCAATGGATTATGGGAAACATCTGGGAAACAAACTTATTTTTATATTAAATTGTTTCACAAATATTATAATATTCTGTTGTTGTTTTTTTACATTTTTATAGCATGTTGTTTTGTTTTTTACCGTTTCTGTAGGGTATTGCTTTGTTTAATTTAATTTTTTTAGGATATTACTTTGTTTTGTATATCTTCTGTGCATAATGAGTTACCTGTATTACACTATTTTCCTACTTTATTTACAGTACTTGGCAAAGCGACAAAATACTACTACTGAATTCATGGAATTGGTTCTACAAACCTTCTTTCCTGAAGACTATTTAGAAAGAAAGCATATCTTTGAAGAGGAGATGGAAGAACTTACAAGGTATTTGCTTTTATTTATAATTTTACTTTAATAGTATTTAAGTGTTTTATTTCAAAATAAAAAAATTTAGAGTAGCTTATTTGCAATAAAGAAAACCTGGCAATATAACTTCTTTCTTACTTGAACATTATAAGTTACAGTTTTTATGTACACATACATTTAGCATACAACTGCTAAAATACATAGTTACAAGTATGTAGGCAACCACTACTGGTACCCACTTACTCTTTAAGTCGACACAGGGTTTGCTGCATCAGGACCATTCACCTAAATCACATATAGTACTTTAAAAAAGTTTATGTTGGTAATTAGGTATAGCATAGTAGAATCATAAGTTTAGGGCTGAATTTCTGGCCCCTCAGAAGAAATATCAGTGTCACAGCTCTCTGATGTCATATGAACATGAAGTTAACAAATCTGTTTAATTGTTGCTACTTATCTGTCCTAACATCAAGTTAACGAGTGTATCTGTTTTTGTTCTTGTTTCTAACATTGAGTTAACAAACCTTTTAGTTGTGGCCTGGCATGGCCAGGTAGTTATGGTGCTTGAATCACAATCTGTTGGTCGCGTGGGATCAAATTTCTGCCTCACTAAACATGCTCACTCTTTCAGCCATGAGGGCATTATAATATGATGGTCAATCCCATTATTCATTGATAAAAGAGTAGCCCAAGAATTATTGGTAGGTGGTGATGACTAGCTGCCTTTTCTCTAGTCATTCACTGCTAAATTAGGATGGCTAGTGCAGATAGCCCCCTGTGTAGCTTTGCACAAAAATCAAAACAAACCAAACATATGTTAAGTTGTTACTACTGTTTCTTTACGTTTTTTCAGTAAACATCTAAGTATTTTCAGGATCTGGTTTTAGATTTTAGAAACATAATTCAGTCATATGTAGATGTTGAGATATATTTTAATTAAATACAATTCACAAGGGCATAGCAGAGTTTAAAAACGTGGTATGGTTGGAAAATAACTCACTGAAGGGGCAGAGTATTTTTTTTTCATATTTCTTACTCTTTTGGAGAGTTGGGATGGAAGATATGTTCTGCTAAAACATCCATTATTGTAAAGAATAGACCAGTCTCAGTGCTGTGTTGTCATTTTGATTCGCTCCATCCATATCATCAGACTAACACTTTCTCGCCATACCTATTTAAAATATTGACATTTAATTTTTTTAGATATGACATAAATTTTAAAATCATTTCAGTTTATTTTTTTATTTCACCCAATATTTTATGGTATTTTAACAGTTTTGTAGAACAAATAAATAGTTGTGCAGTTGATTTGAAAATTACCGCATCACAGACCAGGTTCTGTGCTGTGAATTATTCGGCTGATTGAGAGAATAGTGTTTATAATTAAGTGTACAGATAACTTTTAATTGTTTATGTACCATAACATTATGTATTAAAAAACCTTTGAAAGGTTTGAGTTGCTGAATTAAAACCTGTATTTTGGAAGAAAAAACTTATTTGAGCAATCAAAGCTGCAATTATAATTATGATTTTTATTGCTGTTCATGAATTTCCACAATTGAAGTAGATTATGTAGTTTATTTGGAAAGTGATGGGATTAATGAGTTTTGATCAGTGTAGTGTGATAGGTATAGGTGCAACTTTTGTGGTTATTATATTTTTAATCTCTCAGTAGAAATACATTTGTACAGTCCAAATTGTGTTTTATTGTATTTACATACTAAGCATTTTGTTTTGAATTTTATTACCATAATTGCAAGTATAAATAATGTAACAATAACCACTTAGTACTATACTAAGCTGAAAGGTTCAGTGCAATTTGTTTCTTTATGAATCATTGTTACTTATTGTTAAGTAAAAAATGTGCAGTAACTACCAATGTAAGGGCTGAACCCTGAATTTTACCATTATACTACAAACCCTGAAGGTTCTTCCTGAGCCATGAGGGTAGGGCATTATTTCATAAAAAGTTTTTCTTTATACTGTCTAGTAGCACTCATGAATAATTTTTTCATTTACTTTAGTGAAATTGTAATTAATTGTTTTGGAAATTTTGCAACAAATTTGTGAAACTCTTTAAACACTGAGACCTAAGAAATATCCATTGAGCTTGCTACAAACACATTCTCTTATTTAAATTCATTATATTTTACTACCAAATATTTTTTTATAATAATAAGATTAAAAGTAAGAAGAAACAGTTCAGAACAGTAAAAATAAACAGTTAGCACTCACTGTCTCAAACTTAGATAACTTTCTAGGTAATCAGAAGCTGATTATACTTTCAAAGTTACAATTGTTAGTTTACTAGAAAATAAAAGTGAATGAAAAAATCTAATTGTTATTAATAACTTTGATAGTTAAAAGTAACAAGAAGACAATTTTGTTTCTTAATCAGTTAGGTTTGATTTTTCTGCAAAGTCTAATGGATGTATGTAAATTACTATAAATATAAAGTAACAAGTTATGAATACATCTTTTGGCATCCTGTGAAACTGACATTTATTCCTTAATATTGAAAACTATTCCAAACTCCTGCAAGACATTTTAAAAACCCAGTAATACTTTAAGTGCAAATTGGTAATAGTAGCTTCAGAAGTGGTTCCACAACTTATGAACATTTTTTTGTCCTCAATGTGTGTATGTGTGCCATGTTTATACATATATTTGATATAAATTATATGCCAGTTGATATGAAGTTGACGTTTTAACTCTTATCAGTGCTGGAAAAGACCCAGAACATGTGATTCCACTCTTTGTATGTGCCATGGCATTCCCAACAATACCATGCCCACTGCATGTTTTTGAGCCTCGCTATCGACTGATGATCCGACAGTGCATGGAGTCTGGTACTCGCCAGTTTGGCATGTGTGCTTATTCTGCTGACAGCCCTCAAGGGTGAGTACTTAGATTAGTATAATGTATGATTTTTGGTAAATTTTTAATATTTTCATGTAATTATTTTTAAGCGACACATTGTTAGCATGCTATTATTATAATATTTACTGCTAATTGATCTTAAATATTCTCTAATTATATGGTCTGAATAGTCATTACTTTATATAAAGGGTCCCTGATTATGGATCAATGCTGGAAATTCGAGATGTCCAGTATTTTCCTGATGGTCGCTCCATTGTTTACACCATAGGAGGACATCGCTTTCATGTTTTAAGTAGAGGAATGCGTGATGGATATAACACGGGAGCAGTGGAATTTCTTAAGGATGAGCCACCAGAAGGAGCTGAAATACAAGGTGAGCATTCAGGTAAAATAATGTGAGAATTTGGTTTTAAAGTTCTGTACAATTATTGATACAGATTATTAGTTATTTTGGGATTATGAAAAAATATTGTTAATTATTCCTGAAAAACACACTCCTGATTTCACTAGAAAATTAATTTTTTCTTATCTCAGTCATGTAATTTGTAGGTGTTTTTTAAGGTTTTCAGCATACTATGATAAACTATTTTATGCTTATAAGTGTTGTTTAAGGATATGCTATAATAAACTATTTCATGCTTATAGGTGACATTTAAGGTTGTGAGCATAGTATAATGAATTATTTTGTGCTACAAATATTTGATCAAAGCCCAACAAGATTGATACGACTTAAAAGTACTAACATATGCCTATTGTTTAGAATGTTACTTGAGGTGTTAAGTATATTGCATCACATTTTGTAAACCTCAAATAGTTTTTTTTTTCCTTCTGTAATAAGTTTTGTTTTATTTTACATTAAAAACATTACAAGATAAAAATAATTCTACAGATCTATTTGGTAATGGATATTTTCTTACTGTGAATTCCTTCTATATCACAACCAAAATAAAAAACACTTATTCAAATCATTCCAGCTAACATAAGTTTTTAATACCTACCAGAAAAGGAAGAAATTGTGATTCTGTAATATTGGATGTTGTCAGATTAAAAAAAATAAAATAAAAAATAAATATATATATATGTATATGGGTTGTGGTTGTTTTTTTTTGCCAGTTGTTGAAATAAATGGCTTTTACTTATATTTCTTAATAGCATAAATATGTACTATGTAGTTGTTGGGCTTAGGATTCTTCTACAGCAGGTGTCTGTGACTTGTTAGCAATAAATTCAACAATAAATAAACAGCACACACTTCACTTGCCCCTCAATGTGGATTCCTGTACATAGTAAAGGGACCTCCCAGGGAAGGTTCTGTATTTT